AATGAGAATCAAATTACAACCATGGTCCAATTATCAGGTCGTGTAAGAGGCGAAATAATTTCATCCGAACTGTCAAAATTTGCCTTAATCGTGTGAAAACGTAAACAAAAAATTTTACAGTTTAAGGGATTTTATACCAAAATGGCCCGTAATATTCGCCTCTTACACGAGCTATTAATTGGACCATGATTACAAAATTTGCCTTAATCGTGTGAAAACGTAAACAAAAAAATTTACAGTTTAAGGGATTTCATACCAAAATGGCGCGTAATATTCGCCTCTTACACGAGCTATTAATTGGACCATGATTACAACCAACTCCGTTAAAAAAAAAAACTCAAAAATATCGAAAAATGGGGAACACCGTTATATGGCGAGATATCCAAAAAAATCGTTTTATGGTGGCTATTGCAAAATGAGGTCCAATTTTGAAGAATTTCATCGTGAAGATTTGATACCCAATCAAAATTCCAAATCTGAGTCAATTCGGTTGAAAAATCAGCCAAACATTTTTAAAATATCGAATATTTAGGAGTAATAACAATGTTTGTGCAAAATTTCAAAGCTCTATCTCAAATATTGCGAGCTTCCATGACCTGAACGATAGATCGATAAATCCCATCTTCTATTATAATATAGGCATAGCGAATCGGATAGTCCGGTCGCATGATATTACAAAAATAATTTTGAAAAATATTTTGACTATGAAATTCTAGTATAAAAATCTTAATGTTCAACTAATCTAAAAATCCTAATAAATTTATTATTCCAAAATTCGATATCATAAATGAAAATTGTTAACGCAAAAGGCGTATATTTACCTTTAGCCTATTTCAATGTTCCCCTCGAATTAATTTATTATTCTATGTAGATTTATGCATTCCCGTCTGTCTGTCCGTCCCTTGAAATCACTGTAAAGCTCGCAACACTTACATTGTTCCTACTCCTAGGATAATTGATATTTAAAAAATGGATATATCAGACCACGTTTTGGTATAGCACCCATATAACGGTACATCAAAATATTCGGTTTTTTTAATATTCGCACGTTTTTCAAACGAATTGACTGTAATTTGATATTTTGGTTCTCAGTGGATGAATCTCCCTACCTCCCTACTTTTTATGATAGTCCCCATATAACGATACCTCCAAATATTCGGTATTTTGGAGAATTTTGTTGCGTTTATTAATCGAATGAACTGAAATTTGGTATTTTAAGTTCTCATTGGGTAGCAAATCCCCTTATCAAAAATAATTGATATTGGTCCACGTTTTGGTATATCCCCCATATAACGGTACCGCCAATATTCGGTACTTTAGAGATTTTCGGCACGTTTTTAAATCCGAATTGGCTTGAATTTAGTATATTGTATTCCTAATGGATAGCAAATCCCCTTACCAAAAATAATTGATATCGGTCCACTTTTTAGGATAATGCCCATATAAAGGTACCCCCAAATATTCGGTATTTTGGAGATTTTTGGCACGTTTGTTAACCAAATTGGCTATAATTTAGTATTTTGAATTTTTATTGGATAAAAAATCTCCTTACCAAAAATTATCGATATAGGTCAACTTTTTAAGATAGTCCCCATATAACGATACCTCCAAATATTCGGCATTTTAGGAAATTTTGGTGCGTTCATTAACCGAATGAACTGAAAATTGGTGTTTTGAGTTCCATTGGGTAGCAAATCTCCTATTAAAAAATAATTGATATTGGCCCATGTTTTGGTATAGACCGCATATAACAACCCCCCGAATAATCGGTATTTTTGGGATTTTTTGTGCCTTTATTAACGGAATTATTTAGTATTCTGAGTTATCATTAGATTGCAAATATCCCTACCAAAAAAGTATTTATATTGGTTTACTTTTGGGGATAGCCCCCACATAACGGTACCTCCCAAATTTCCGTACTTTTGGGAGTATGAGTAAGTTTTTCAACAGAATTGGCTATTATTTAGTATTTTCAATTTTCATTGGTTAAAAAATCTACCTACCAAGAATTGTGGATATCGATTCACATTTGAGGATAGCCCCCATATAACCATACTCCCTATTATTCGGTATTTTGACGAGTTAGGGCACATTTTTTGAACCGAATTGGTTGTAATTTGGTATTTTAAGTTCATATTGGGTAGCAAATCTCCATACCAAATATCAATATTGGACCACTTTCTAGGATAGCCTCCATGTATAGGTACCACAATTATTCGATATTTGTGGAGATTTTGGGTAAGTTTTTCAACCGATTTGGCTGTAATTTAGTACTTTGAATTCTCATTGGGTAGCAAATCTCCTTATCAAAAATTATCGATATCGGTCTAATTTTTAACATAGCCTCCACCTAACGGTAACATTCAAATATGATTACTAGGTACATCTAGCGAATGCAGTTCAAATAACCCAAAACAAGTCCCGCAGATAGATTTTTTTTACTATTTTTATATATATTTTTATATCATATCCAGAAGTAATAATTAATTGCATTACATCATTCCAATATATTTAGATTAGAAAAACGTAAACTTGCCCTTGAGGGTGGTAAATCGGAATGGAGATTCTATTCAATTGTAGATAAAATATATAAAGCATTAAAGAGTGAACCCACAGAACCACTACCCATAAATGATCGAGTTGCCGAGGAAGAGGAAGAAGGTATGTGTGATAATAAATTATTTTTCATTATATTTATAATTATAATTTGCAAATTTAATTCCATTTCAGATTCTAAACCGTATTACCATGAAGATGATACCATAAACAGTAACGAAGACGAACTGGACGATAATAATCCCGTAAAGAAAATTGAATATGAAAATCATAAAGACGAAACGTCATCGTTAAATTATAATGAGGAAACAATTAGTGATACTAAACCAGTACGGAAAATAGAACAACCTCCAAAGTCATCGAATCGAAATAGGCGAGATGTACAAAATAACAATAAAGAAATATTGGAATTGCTGAGAAATTGTCAAGACATTATGCAAATCGAAGCTGAAGAACGTCAAAAGGCGGATCAGAAAATGTTACAATTGCAGAAAGAACTAGTCGCCATTGAAAGGGAACGTAATGAAATATTAAAGGAATTATTGGCATAATTACGATATGACAAGCTGACAGACAAGTGGACAGATACGGTCAATGTCATGTAAGAAAAAATATTTCTTAGTGGAGAGTGGTAACAATAATTTTTGCACCTACTGACCCATAAACTATTTAACTGTCATGCTGAAAATGATTGTATCTGAACCTCAAGTAAACAAAAAAATATTGAACTGTTGTAGGTGTTAATGGAAATTTCACAACACCAACATTTTTTAGTTATTGGTTTCTTATTTTTCCTACTGTAATGAGACACGGATTAATTTTTTCACTTTTTATTTTTAAAAATTATTTTTTTACTAAAAAATGTTTGTAGTTTTGAAATAATATTCCTTATTTCGCATGTATTTAAATTTAATATATGACAATTTTTTTATTAAAAAAAAAGATGTTAAAAAATTTTAATGAATATACTGAAATTTGTTTTTGTATTTCTTTCTATCCTCAAAACCTCAAAAGTAAACCGATATCGATAATTTTCGGTAGGGAGATTTGCTATCCAATGAGAATTAAAAATACTGAATTATACCAAATTTGGTTGAAAAACGTGTCCAAACTTCAAAATTCCGAATATTTGGTGGTATTGTTATATAAGGGCTATCTTAAAAATGGGACCGATATGGATAATTTTTGGTAGAGATATTTGCTACCCAATCGGAATTCAAAGTACTAAATTACAGCTAATTCAGTTAAAAACGTGCCCCACATCTGCAAAATATTGAATAGTGAGGGTTAGCCTTATATGGGGTCTATCCTAAAAAGTGGACCAATATCGATAAGTTTTGGTCGGGAGATTTGCTATCCAATAAGAATTCAAAATACCAAATTACAGCCAATTTGTTTGAAAAATGTGCCTAAACTACCCAAATATCGAAATTTGGGAGGAACTGTTATACGGGGGCTATCCTCAAATGTAAACCGATATCGAAGGAGGAGAGATTTGCTATCCAATGTTAACTCATAATATCAAATTACAGCCAATTCGATTGGAAAACGTATCAAGTCTCCCACAAAATACCGAAAATTTGGTAGGTACCATTATATGGGGACTATATTAAAAAGTGGACCTATATCGATAATTTTTGGTAGGGAGATTTGCTACCCAATGCGAATTCAAAGTATCAAATTACAGCCAATTCGGTCAAAAAATGTGCCCAAACTCCCAAAAATATCGAATAATGGTGGTACCGTTATAGGCGAGCCAATCCTCAAAAGTAAACCGATATCGATAATTTTTGGTTGGAAGATTTGCTATCCAAGGCGAACTCATAGTACCAAATTACAGCCAATTTCTGCAAAATATTGAATAATGTGGTTACGGTAATATAGGAGCTATCCTAAGAAGTGGGCCGATATCGATAATTTTTGGTAGGGAGATTTGTTATCCAATATGAATTCAAAATACTAAGTAATTGCCAATTTGGTTAATATTTGAGGGTATTGTTATATGGGGACTATCTTAAAGAGTGGACCGATATCGATAATTTTTGGTTGATATATTTGCTACCCAATGTGAACTCTACGGAACATCGTAAATATTGAGTGTTGTGTGGCGATTTCATTAGACGGGTAGACAGGTGCATAAATGAACATAGAATTTTATTCTGATCAAGCATATAGGGTCCCCGGTGAATATTTCGAGGTTTTGTAAAGGGAATGACAAATTTAATATATACTACATCTTATGGTGGTGGGTTTTGTTCCCTTAAAAATTTAGGATCGGCAATATTCTCCACCTCATCGCTAGTCCAAGTATTATTGCGACTCATTTTCAACTAGACGAGACTGTGACTTACTGACTATTTGCGATGTCTTATCAATATATAAAATCTCTTATTATATTTAAATAAATAATAAAAACGATATTTTTTAACTTAAAAAAAAACCTTTTACTCAGTCTTCAATTGTGTATCGTACATATAACTTGCCAAACAGTTGCGTATTTCCTCTGCACGAAAATCAAATTCGATTGTTTCAAATTCTTGCAGCAAACCACTGCTATTTGGCAACCTGTCTAAATTACTCTGCTTCTCAATCCATTCGCTGGGAATTTCATCATTTTGTTCGAGTAAAAAATTATGTAGAATACAACAAATGTAGATTGTATTACGGCCATTGGCAATATTCGATGGTATACCATTTGTTAGGCGACGAAAACGTGCCTTCAACTGGGTAAATGTTTCGCCAACAACCTGATGGCATTTCTGTAAATTATTGTTGAAGATTTTCTCCGGATCTGAAGAACTAATGCCATAGACATAAGGTTTCATTACATGTTCGGATAGATTAAATGATGTATCGGCAATCATGAAAATCGGAACTTCAATACCGTTGATATTTTTTGACATAGTTTTGAGTATTTCGCCACGACGGGAGAACATTTGTGGCAAGTCTGTTTTATTATAAACTGAAGGATAATTCCAGCCATCATTGCTATCCACATAAGCATAGCGGATTTTGTGACTATAAAAAATAAAATAATTATTATTGTTTTTTGTTGTTGTTGAAAAAATATATTTAAATAAAAGATGTTCTTACTTGTGATCCACTAAAGCCAATAGAGTTAAATAATCTCTACCTTCACGCATGTTACAGCTGATATTAAAACGATGACCATCTAAAATGGAAAAAATAATTAAATGACTTAAAAAAAACAATATTTAAAAAAACACAAACACAAACCAATTATTAAATTGTTTACCTCTTTTTACTTACCCAGTACCCCACAACATTGTGGTACACCCAATTTTTCAAAACCTCCCACACATTCCCGCAAAACTTCGGGTGTTAGAAACTCCTTTGGCATATATTTCTCCCGCATCGTTTCCACAACAAATTGTATAAGTTCTTTCAATAGAATGCATACCGTTGATTTTCCAATACCAAAAACACTACCAACTTCCGAATAAAATGTCGAATGCCTCAAAGCGTATAGGCATATGGCAATTCTCTTGTCCAATGGTATACATTTACGAAATTCACTATCCAATTTTGTCATTGGTGTTAAAAATTCACATAGCTTGTTGAATGATTTGCGATTTACACCAAATTTGTCCTTAAATACATCCTCCGGCATTTGTTGGGCTTCGATTTCCCAGAAATTGGTCTCTTGGGACTGGTAAGAGAAAGAAAAACAGAAACTACCTATATTTAATTTTTTCGATTTGGGTTTTAAAAAAAACTCCACTTACATATGTCCATACAGTACGATAGGGACGAGGTTCATCCAGTAAAGCACATAGTAAATGTAGTTGCTGCACCTGTAACATTTGCAGCTTATTTATGGAGTTATTTCGGCGCCGTCTATAGTAGTCCAATAGAAGCTTGGTTCTGGTTACCCGGGAATCTAATAAATTTAGTTTTAAAACAATTTCCTGTTGTGTTGAAAGATGTTTCATTTTGTTTATTCCTTTTATTCAAGATTTTGGTTATCGTTAAACAAAGTTTCAGCAGTTTACATGGGTGTTTTCTTGTTGGTATGTGGTTTTGTGCAAACTTATATTGTTTACACTGTTAATTTATTTATATTCATTAAAGGGGAAAAGGAGGTGTTCTATTCTTTTCTACTTATTAAAATAATTCAAATATTAAACACAAAGACATTAAAATCAAAGCCCACATTGATTTCCTAGCACAGCTGATGGACGATTATTCACTTATCGATAACTAGGATTTATTTGCCGCCAACAAATATAAGTATACATACTTGGATAATGCTTTCTATTCCCTTTTCCTTCTTATTTATCAATCAACAATCGTGTCATAGAAAAATAACAACAATAAAAAGCCATTAATTAATTAAAAAAAATAATTAAAGCAACTGTTTACAGTCTGTGTGTCATCGATAACTTTCTCTCTCTCTTACCATTTGTGTTATCATCTCACAGTACCACATGCAGTCATGTAGGGGAATAAGAAGAAGAAGACTCTCGCTTATTAAATATATGGAAACAACATAATCAAAACAACTTAATTAAATAATCACACGTAAAAAAACACATTTTCTAAATGAAAATGTTAAGACAACTATTTAAACAAGAATTAGTATTTATACGGCCATATACAACAAAGGCCAAACGTAGTTTACTTAAGCAGGATGAGTCCAAAGTGCCAGGTAAGTAAAATCGAAGCATCCTCCCTCGAACCATAACATTGAATAATTTTCTTCTATTCCCATTAATAGTATTGGATAGAAAACCTTCCGATCAGCATAAGTTACGTGTCTATGGCTGGGGCTATCAGGAGACCGGTGCATTGGGTAATATTATAAATATTAAAAAGGCCCAGGAACGTTACACTGCCATGGTACATCATCCAACCCGTATGCAATTTTCCGTTAACAATGAAGTTTTGGATATGACTGCCGGTTATGGATTTTCCGCTTTTGCTGTTAATCGATCGGATGGTGAGACCTTGTTTGGCACCGGCTTAAATACCGACTCACAATTGGGTATGCAAATGAAGTAGGTATTTATAATTATCCGATTTATATCCTACACCACACAGGGTATTATGTGTATTTGTATGTAGCACGTAGTAGGGAAGAAGATGGTGACATTGGTACTTTTGCGGAGATGCTTAGAATACGTCTTTTGAGAGCATTAATTTTAATTGGTCCAAGGACGTACTCTTATGAATTTTGCGAGAATCGTTTCCGATTTAGGGCTTAAGTTGAGTTTAGGGGCTCATCTCCGATTTTTCTGACATTTTTACCACAGGTAGATCTCGTCTCCCTGATCACGAAAATATATGACATTCATGGGGGAAACCCATATTTCCCGAGATATGGACCTCTGAAGTTCCGGAATTCATATGCTCATAACTTGGACATTTATAGGCCGACAATGGTAATATTGACGGATATTTAGAGAAACATGTTTATTTAAAAGAAAATTTCGATCGCATTTTCTATCTGTCCATAGGAGAAAGTCTAAAATCCCCGGCCGAAGGCCGGCAATATAAGAAAAACTTTGATATAAAGGAAATTTTAATCGCGTAGCCAATTTTTCCACCTGTCCATAGCAGAAAGTCCTAAATCCCCGGCCGAAGGCCGGCTATTTAGAAAAAAAATTAGTTTAAAAACATTGTTGATGCGTTAGCCGAATTTTCCGCCTGTCCATAGGAGAAAGTCTTAAATCCCCGGCCGAAGGCCGGCTATATAAGAAAAACGTTGATATAAAGGAAATTTTAATCGCGTAGCCAATTTTTCCACCTGTCCATAGCAGAAAGTCCTAAATCCCCGGCCGAAGGCCGGCTATTTAGAAAAAAAATTAGTTTAAAAACATTGTTGATGCGTTAGCTGAATTTTCCGCCTGTCCATAGGAGAAAGTCTTAAATCCCCGGCCGAAGGCCGGCTGTATAAGAAAAACTTTGATATAAAGGAAATTTTAATCGCGTAGCCAATTTTTCCACCTGTCCATAGCAGAAAGTCTTAAATCCCCGACCGAAGGCCGGCTATTTAGAAAAAAAAGAGTTTAAAAAACATTGTTGATGCGTTAGCCGAATTTTCCGCCTGTCCATAGGAGAAAGTCTTAAATCCCCGGCCGAAGGCCGGCTATTTTGAATAATTTTTAATTAAGACGAATTTAAGTGGAAATATAATGTGTACGCTTTACAATCATACCAATATTACCTTCACCGATTCATAAATAACGAAGTTATGAACATAGGAATTTCGGAACTTTAGAGGTCCATATCTCGGGAATTATGGACTTCCCCCATGAAAGTCATATATTTTCGTGATCAGGGAGACGAGATCTACCTATGACAAAAATTTCATATCTCGGGAATTATGGACTTCCCCCATGAAAGTCATATATTTTCGTGATCAGGGAGACGAGATCTACCTATGACAAAAATTTCAGAAAAATCGGAGATGAGCCCCTAAACTCAACTTGTTCCATTATCCGATTTATATCCTACACCACACAGGGTGTTATGTGTATTTGTATGTAGCACGTAGTAGGGAAGAAGATGGTGACATTGGTACTTTTGCGGAGATGCTTAGAATACGTCTTTTGAGAGCATTAATTTTAATTGGTCGAAGGACGTACTCTTATGAATTTTGCGAGAATCGTTTCCGATTTAGATATAGCTCCCATATATAATTTCTCGGATTTCAGGTAAATGGTGCACCAAAGTCCCCACGTTTGGTCCGATTGACTTGAAATTTTACTGAATTGGGTCTAGAATAACGAGTGTTAAGTTTTATCAAAATCTGTTCAGATTTCGATATAGCTCCCATATATATTTTCGTCCGATTTTATGTAAATGTTACACCAAAGTAACTTATTTTCGTAAGAATAACACGATATGTTGCATATCGTACTGAAATGGGTCCAGAATGATGTGTGTAAAGTTTGACTTGAATCTGGTCGGATTTGGATATAGCTCCCATGTATAATTTCTTCGGATTTATCGTATATGGGTCCCCACGTTCGTCCGATTGACCCCAGGTTTGTCCAATTGGCAGGAAATGAGCATCGACTACGATGTTAGAGGGCTATAATGACGTTTGATGAGTTTTATTCAAATCGGTTTAGGTTAAAATATAGCTCACACACATATTTTCGTCCGACTTCATGTAAATGTTGGTGCGATTGACTCGAAATTTTGCATATCATACTGAATTGAGTCAAGATTAACGTGCGTTAAGTTTTTTTGTTATATGTATAGCACCCAATGTGGTGTAGGGTATTACATAGTCGGCCCCTTCCGTCTTAAGTCCTACCTTCCTAATTTTTTAATTTTCATTAACATTTCTTCCCACCCCCCTTAGAGGGCATCCCAAAGATCCACAAAATCTCGATGTAATCATTTATCCAACCCCCATAAAATTACCCCGCATTGAAGGTGAAACCGATGAGGATATGATGATACGTTCTATGTCAGCGGGTCGTGCCCATTTGGTGGTGGTTACAAAAAATGGCACCATCTTTACCATGGGTAACAATTCATATGGGCAATGTTGTAGAGAAATTATCGAAGATGAACAATATCGAGGAAGTACGCTGATACACCGTCTATCGGAAAAAGATATTTGTGGCGAGACGGATACAATCGTAAATGTTGTATGTGGCCAGGATCATACAATGTTTTTGACAAAATTGGGCCATGTATATACCTGTGGTTGGGGAGCCGATGGCCAAACCGGTCAGGGACATTATATGACAAATGGTCGGATTTCACAAGCCCTTGGTGATATATCACGTGAACATATTGTAAAGTTAAGCTGTGCCTCCGATTGCGTGCTAGCCCTAAACGATAAAGGTGAAGTTTTCGGTTGGGGTAATTCCGAATATGGTCAACTAGATGATTCCGAAGATGCTGAAAGTCAAATAAATTCCCCGCGTCATTTGTCACTGACCAAAGGAATTGGTAAATTTAAAGATATTGCTGCGGGTGGTTCATTTTGTATGGTCCTCAATGAAGAGGGTTTGGTCTATACCTGGGGGTTTGGTATTTTAGGTTTCGGACCCTATGTCGAACAATCCTCAAAACCGCAACATCTTTTGCCAGCATTATTTGGTCGTAATGATTTCAGTGAAACCACCTATGTTACCTCAATCGGCTGTGGTGTATTCCATATGGGTGCAATTAATTCCGATGGTGATCTATTTATGTGGGGTAAAAATCGTTGTGGCCATTTAGGGCTGGGCCATAAACAAGATCAATTTTTCCCTCTAAAAACGGCGGTAAATGGAAAAGTTACCAAAGTTGCATTTGGTGTCGATCATACTTTGGCCATGTGTAAACCTTTTATGTGATTAATTTAATTAACGTAATTTAATTTTTGTTGAGTAATTTATTTGCGAAGAAAATTGTTGTTTTAGCTTTAAGTGAACCAAAAAAAAAAAATAAATAAAATAAATGAAAATGGGCTATAATATAGCCTAAATGACTATAAATTAAAATGTTGAAGTGATTTGTAGGAATCAAATGAAAAAAAAAAAATACCTTTAGGCTGTATAAATATATGGACCAATATAGAAAAAATTATCTGAAAATGAATCTTATTTTAATCGATTTATATCAAAGACATACAATCGTAAAAACTTGACCAAGGCCAGTTAGCGAAAGTCAACTGTTTTTTCTCATGTCAAATATCAAAAATTTGGACTTTGCTTACGTTTTCATAATGGGAGTCAATTCACAGTAATGGATTTTGACAGCAAAATCCATTATTGGCATTTGATATCCAGTTGATTTTCCTGGACGACCTTATTTATAGGACAAGACAAGACGCATTTTCCAAAATTATGAAATTATTATTATGTCTTTTCTATAAAATTATAACATTTTTGTAATCAGGATTTTAGCTGCTTTAAATTGATACTCATATTTCAACAAAACATGGACAATGAAAGGAATTTTTTTGAAATATTTCCCACATATAATTTGCCGCTGTTTACAAACGCTATGATTGTGCCCACATTCATAACGACGCCGATATACCAAAAAAGCTAACGCCGTTAAAAGTTTACAGTGTTGATCAGTGGCCAATTTGTTGTACTGAAATACATAATAATTAAGTATAATAATAAATTATATTTGAAACATTTTCAAAATATCTAAAAAATCCAATCTTTAAATCAGAATAAATACGCCATTTAATGCTCTCTTTTAACAGAGAACGACGACGACAACAACAAAATAATCGATTACTCTATAACAATTGTCTGTCATTAGCCATCGATTAGTTGTAAAATCGACCTAGCTAACCCTAACCCATTGCATATGACAGACAGTTTTGTGTAAAACGCAAGAGGTGTCTGATTCGCGTAGACGACAAGAAATACGAAAGTGGTAGAGAAGCGAAAGAAAGAATATTTCTTTTTCTCATAGAAATAAAATTAATTAAATATTAAAACCAGAAACCATTTGGAAAAGTCTAATAATTACCAGTGAAATTAAAAGAATTATATGTGAAAGAAAATAAATATATTTTGTATCTCTCAATAAGGTAAAAAGAAAAACGAAAAAATTTGTTGTCTCCCATCCCACAATCAAACCCCAACAACAAGCAGCCAGGCAGGCAACCGAGAGAAATAGAAAAAGTGAATCGAGCAAGAAAAATCGCGTTTGTACAAATAAAACAAAAAATTGCAAGTGAAATTTTTTTGCCAAGGCAAAATATGTTTGGATAAATTTTGCATAAAAATTGCAAAGTGATTAATTAACAACAACAAAAAGAAAATCAGTTGAATTTTGTGTTGAATTGTGTTAAGCGAAAAAAAATAGAAGAAACCTGTGTGTGTGAGTGGAAATTATATACATATATATGACAGCAAATTTCCACCCATAATAAATCATTGATATTTTGTCTGTCATCAGTGCGTTTTTTGTCTGGAATGGAAAAAATTTCAACATAAAAATAAAAATTGTTTAAAGAATTTTTAGTGAAAAAACAACAAAAACTAACTTTGCACCACCCAACAACCAAGTAGGACTTTGCCAAAAAAGAAAATCCCCGTAGCAGCCGCCTGGAAATTTGTTCGTCGTAGTTGTGAAAATGCATTAAAGGGCTGGGGCTGCTTTTTCCGAAACGAAAGAAAAAAACGCAGAGAAAACAAGGAAAACGCATTTTCATCGTTCCTTCGTCGTCTCCGGTAGGTACACACACAAAATATCCATCCATCCAACCAACCGCACACATATATATCTATGTATATCTCCAGTCATTTTTATCCCTATTTTATAAATATATATCTAAAGCCTGTTGTAGAGTACGAAAGACGAAAAAAATCGTGTTGAGAAGTTCAGTTGCTCTGTTGTGCTCATCCACAACAGAGCAATAATACTCTTGTATGTACAAAAATACGATGACGACGACCAGTTCTTCTACGGTCGTTTCATTTCATATTCCATCATCGTGAATTTCTTCCTTGTGCTCCTGTGGCAGGCAGGGTATATGCTCTCTTTCTCTATGCTATTTTATACTCTTGATGATAGCAAAGGTGACAACGAATATTACAACTCCTATGTTTTGTTGTCGTTGTTGTTATTATTTAGGGATACAAAATCTTTCATGCTGCTCCCTGTTTTTTCTCCTTGTTGTGGTTGTTGTTGTTGTTGTCGTTTGTGTAGCCTTTCTAGAGTTCTTTTTTTTTCCTGCCGTGTATGTTTTGATTATTCCCTTTATGTGCCGTCGTTATACGTTCTCTCTGTCTCTCGGTGGTTCATACAACGGGAAATTTGAAAGCACCACCCAAATACAACAACAAAAACAAATGAAAAAGTTTACCAACCCAAAAAATGCAAAATTCACCTTGTCTTTTTTTGTTTAGATATCCCTTTGCCACATTTCCATATTCACCATTACTGTGTGTGCCTCATTGTCTCTTCTCTCTCTCAACAGGATTTTACGTCAGTTCCTGTTGTCACGTAAACAACTCCGTGTTTCATTTCATTTTGTGTGGTATTCGTCCTTTGTATGCATTGGGGAAATTAAATTCCAATTGCCCAATTGAGAATGATGTGTGTGCCTTTTTCTCTCGTTTAGGCTTTTTTTGTTATTTGCTCGCCCTCTCACACTCTTTCGCTCTCCCTTAAATTGTTGTTATATTTTTATGCATTTGTTTGAAAGGAAGCCGGTATATTTACCGTTACACCGGTTGTGTGTGTTTATTTCTTTCCGTATCACACTACAATATACTCCCCCCGTTTTGTGTGGCGGCCGGCAGTCACACACACACACACTCGTACGCACGCAAGCACGCACATGACGTGCCAAACAACCTATTTCTGTGTGATTGTTGTTCTTCTGGTGTATTTTTCTCTATTTAACACCCCTTTCGGAAAACAACCACTTTTCCCAATTTTGTTTTTGTTGTTCTGGCCGTTAAAAAATGTTCTTTATATGTATTTTGCAATATTGTGGAGGGTTTTTTTTTATCATAAAACGTTTTTGTTGTTGTTGATCATAAAAACTTGAGTTGTTTATTTATTTGATTTTAGAGCGAGAGTTCGCTTGGGCTTTTATGGGGGCTGAGAGAACTCAATTTAAAGGAGATCAATAATAATATTTAGCCGGAATATTTCATTTGTGTATACGAGGACTACTATAAATACAGTATGTTAAGAATGAGTTTACACATGGTTAATTATTAAATAAAACACAATTTTCAAATGTAGAAACTTGAAATTTTATCAGGATAGTATAAAATGAAAAAGTTCGCTGTTGCAGACATAAATTTACTGCGAAAAAAATCATTTCGGGCCGCCCCCTGCGTACGTCCATGATCTGGGTCATAGACTTCCTCCGCCCTAGCAAGTGAATGAATATCTTTATTATCTAAAGACTAAAGTCCAGAGGGGACTTACTATTCTACATATATTTTTTTGTATTACAACATGTAAAAAAGTGTCAGTCGGTGTTTCCGACAGATATGTAACCTCTTCAGAATTTAGGCTTTATTATTCGCTTTATATAAAGTATGTTTTTGTTTTTATCAAAGAGGCTTAAAATGCACCCCTAAGTATTCCGTATTTTGAGGATCTTTAGATCGAGTTTTAACAGATTTGATTATAATTTAGTATTTTAAGTTCCCATTCAATGTTTTGAATACGTTTTTAAACCGAATTGGCTCTAACCTTCCATATTTCCATAGTATAGCCCGTTTATGAAGATCCCTAGCGACTACTGTTATTTTAAATATTCACCTCATAGTTCGGCTTAACGTATTTTAAATGTTCACTTAATGAGTGTAACAAGTCCGATGCGACCGATCATAACGACATTTTAGTTTTTGTAAAAAAACTCTGGTTTTCAATTTTTTTTTTCCTAACAAAATACTTGTGCCCCACGTTGGGTGCCACTTTTTATTTTCTAAACATTTGAACAAAAATATTGAGAAACACAGAATATTGCAGTTTTTTTACGTTTGCAAATATTTCCTTTAACTTTTTTTAACGGAAAAAATTTAAAGCCACCATTGTTGGGCTTGGTTCCGATGATAACATTTACCGAAATTGATATTAGTAATTTGTATAGCAACATCTGTAATTGTTTGTCTGCATTAAAATTTTTAATATTTTAGAGAAATTTTCATGATTCCATGATTAATTTCAACATTAACGTTTGGTGGGTGTCATTCCAGAACCAATCATAAGGAATTATTGCGAATATTCATCAATTACGTTGGGCGCCACTTTTATAAAATGATAACAAAATAGAATTTTCAAAATAAACAACCTAGGAATTTTATAAGGACACGATCCTACATACTTACCATATCAAATTGTCAATAACATTAAAAAATTTTGATTTAGCATTTTTTACATTTCACACCAATTTTATGATTTCTAGGTTCCAAGATGGGCGCCATTTCCATAAGAAAATTGTAAGGCAAATTAAATATTTTTGCATTTGTGTTTGATATTTCGAATAAAAATCAGTATTCTTATGAAGACATATTTTAATTTATCATGACCTACGGTGGACGCCGTTATTAAATTGGCATTCATTCTTGCTAATTTTCTTGATAAACATTGTTTAACTTTACTTAACAATGCTCCATGTTGGGCGCCATTTTTTCACATTTAATTTAAAACATTGACTTTTAAAGGCAAATATTCCCTTTGTCTCTTTAAGAGTCATTAACAATCAAATATTTATTCTCTCCACGTGAAAAAAAGAAATAAACATAAAACTAAATCCTTTTCGGATTTAGTTTTAGTTTTGTTCAAAATTAAAACTCATTGCTATTACGACTACTAACATACTCTGGCAGAAGTCATTTATAGCCAAAGGGTTAATCAACGGGAT